CTTTGACGACAACTGTATCAAAGTGCGAGTGTTTCCATGATGTTTTTAATCTCGGTTTCATCAGTAGCTCAGTAGCACTGCGGCTTGTGGTAAAGTACTTGGGAAATTCGTGAACAAAGAACTATAAGATTGTTTGGGCAAGCGCAAATTATGCCTTCCGTTTAACATCGCTTTTCCAGAAGGATCAACCAGTGGTTTACTTTCTGATTTGATTTTCAATGGAACTACCGCGATGAACCAGGGAAGATCAATAGAAGTCGTTTTTTTTACCTTCACAAGGTTACTTTTCAAACTTTCTAATCACGGAATGCACCAACAACTGTTGATATGGCTCTCATCTCACCTAGAAAGTAGAGATTTAGGATTCTGCATGATAGCGAGAGTCGAATTTGCTGCGCACACGAAGGATGTCACCACAAGCCTCAAACCAATTAACACGTTTCGGACCGGTGCTGCACATGGTGCAGCACGCTGCTTTGAAGGACCTTTCTGGCGTTTACAGGAGGCTTCCATTTAGTCCAAAGTTGTTGAGTCAAAGGTCTGATCTCTTACTTTTCAAATGACTCTGTAAAGCTGTGCCGCGAATATTTGTTTAGGAGATACGAGGACAAATCGACCAACAATCGCAACGAACTGGGCAACGCGAACGACGCGTGCGACATCGCATTTTTTCTTTGCTCCGACTTCAAAAAGAAAAACCGTACTTTCAATAATGATGTGTACCGTGTACAACATAGATACTTTTGAATACTATTTGAAACTGAGTTCTTACTCCTATCTCTCAAGAAAGCACAAAAGTCCCTCTCAAGTGACAAAATTGAAACACTTCGAGTTTACTCAAAACTTTCGGTATGGAGCTTACCTGATATGCTGGTTACAGATGTGGCCCACAGGCTGCGAAATAAGGTCCCTTTATAGGCTAACAGCTGAAAGCATACCTTCGATAGTCTAGAGACAGGGCGCCAAAAGTGAAGGTTGTTTGCACATCTGACGTCACAAATGGTGAAGGTTGTTCAAAGAAGATCAGAGAAGAGAATATGACGTAAAACAGACATAAAAGCAAAAGAAACGGCTGTAAACCGGATAAAAACGCTGCAATAAGATTTGAAATCTTTCATTTGGAGGCTTTACAGAGTGCAAGTTTTCGCTCCAGGACCAGCAATTCGCAACACGGGGTTTTGATTTTTGATGCGTCCTTTAAATTTTTACCCCCGCGCCGTCCCTCTTGTACCCTGCGACGTTGTCTGGATTCTTCCGCTCATCATTCTGAGCAAGTATCGTCCAAGCTGGAGAAAATTCGTTGCGAAACTACTGAAAAAGAATAAGGTAAAGAAAAACGCATTTTTTAGTAATTTTCACAAAAAAAGCGGCATAAGCAAAGAAATAAGCTCGGCGACGTTGTCTACATTATAGACAGAAACAAGACCTATCGACTACACAAAAAAACTGCGTGAAAAGAGTCAAACTAGGAGAAAAACGAGAGATTTTCAAAAACAAGATTTTTGCCGGATTTCTTGCTTAAATCATAAAAAGGAGTCCTGCGACGTTGTCAGCGTGAAAATAGAGATCAAGAGCTTCAAAATGATATATAGCTTGCTAAAATTGGGTTCGAAACAGCGAAGAAAAGGGTACCAGAGCCAAATGCCCCGCGCCCCGCGCTCGGGGTAGCGAGGTAGCGCGCAGCGCGCGGAGACGCAGACGAGCAGCGGAGAGAGACCAGAGCCGGCGGGGCATTTGGCTCTGGTCATTGATCTCCGCGGGGTCATAACGAAACCCTATAATATTATATATCGTTGTGATCCTCATGACACGGCCAGGAGCACTGACAACGTCGCGGGTCTTGAATCTCACTCCATAACGAGATAGACCAGCATTTATGTGGCGACTCTCTGCGCAAGATTTCAGCGCAGTTTCTCGTTTTTGTTGAACTCCAGCGGCTTTCATGAACCTCCAACGCTCAATCGCAGTCTATAGAAAGGTTAACTGATAAGTTTTATCCTAATTTCTAACTGAATTTTTGAAGAAAAACCCTCTTTTCAGCAAAAAAAGGCCATGAAAACGCAATCTTTCGGTTTTTTGAGCTTTTCTTTGGATGTCACTACTATACTTGCCTCATTCACATTCATCCTTACATAGTTAGTCATTAGTTATGTCATAATATCCGGGGCTTCGCCCCGGATGACTTGTACTCCTCTCCAGGTGAAGGTTGTGTCGTCTCATGACACTCAAAGTGAAGGTTACCAGAGTACGCGGCTCTATGTATCGAAGGTATGGCTGAAAGTACACTCTTTTTCGCCGCGCGCGATTTCGCGGTCCGAAACGTGTTAAACAACCCGCATTTTTAAAATGGCTTCAGGTAATTGAAGAGTGGAATCTGATAGCAGAAAAGCATTTGGTAGAATAAAGAAAACTAAGAAAATCACACGCCGCAAAATCACACGACTCACGCGATCACGCAGATTCATGTGTGACAGTGCGCGTTGAATCCAGCTTTTCTGAGCGCTCACTGCAGTAGTGGTGTGCCACAAGGAGGCTACGCACTCTTTTTCTCGCTATGGCAGAACTGCCAACAGTTTAAAGACGCATCCGCATAAAAAGCAGATTTTTGCAGATGGCATAAAACTACTTTTGCTATGAAGATGACTAGCAAATTGTTCCCATAAAGTTGTCTCAAATTCTGTAAAAATGATCATTTGATTCAAGGGTTGAAATTTACCTGTTAACACGTTCAAGTCAAGGGTTGTGCATTTTGACAAATTCCACCACCCGCGCACATACCTCTGTGACGGCGTTGAAGTTGAGCTGTACAATGCTACAGACTTGACAGTTCTTGTTGATTACCAGGTAAAGTTTACTAACCATTATGACTCAGTTATTAGGAAAGCTTTGCCAGCTTTTTTCATGATGTTAAAGGCAGTGTCCAGGCAATTCTGGTCGCATGGCTTTTTCGCCTGGAAAATGATGAAGGGGTCCTAACTAAGGCACTGCCCAAGCGCAAGTTGTTCATTCACGACTGAGAAATCCGTCTCCGGAAACCCCGAGCCTGCGCTGTAACCGTAACCCAAAAACGACTTCGCTCACTTTAACAGTACATTCTCGCTGGGACCCATCTCAAGTGTTACGGTCATGGCGCAGCCGCGGAGTGTTTATGGATGGATTTCTCAGCCGTGAATGAATTATGCACTGCGGCTCGGAGAGTGCCCTAGCTAGGACCTCCTCAACAGTTCCCAGGCAAAAAACCCATATGCCCAGATTTGCCTGGACATTGCTTTTAACACGTTTCGGAAAGCCGCGAAAAAGAGTGTGCTTTCAGTCTTAGCCCAAAAAGGAACCTTATTTCGTAGACTGTGGGCTACCTCTGTAATCAACATGTCAGATAAGCTCTATGCTCAAAATTCCGAGTGAATTCGAAGTGTTTGAATTTTGTGCTTAGGAAAGACTCCTGTGCTTTTTTGAAAGACAGAAACAAGAACTCAGATTCTAATAGAATTTAGAAGTGCCTATGTTGTACACGGTACACATCACTGTTGAAATTACGGTTTATCTTTTTGAAATCGAAGCAAAGAGTTGCGACGTCGCACGCGTCGTTCGCGTTGCCGCACTTAGTTGCAATTGTTGTTCGATTTGTTCTCATATCTTTTAGACAAATAACGGCGCCACAGCTCTACAGAGTCATTTGAAAAGTAGGATCTTAGGGCTTTGACTTGATAACCTTGGACTAAAAGAAAGTCTCTCGTAAACGTCAAATAGATCCTTTAAAGCAGCGTGCTGCACGCGCAGCACCGGTCCGAAACGAGTTAAGAAGCATTTATAGTGATGGTATTTCTTAGTAGTTCCAAGACTTCATCACTTTTAGCATACGCATCTTAACTATGGAACTCCTATTCAAAGAAGAACATTGAGGACTTGAAAAGGTGCAAAAATCTGTGCCAGGATTGTCTTCTACGGGTGTTCTTCTACATCCTCTGATTACTGAAAATACCATGATAATAAAAACGAAGATGCGAACTAATGCCTACTTTGAAATGGGCATTACGGTTTTGAGAGCTCAAAGGCAGCGGTTTAGAAGAATGACAACTTTGGGATATCATCTTCTGGGTTCTCCTGAACGAGCTAAGTCCAACATTGTGCTTTGCAGCTTCAGTAGATAAAAAAACGCTTTTTTAGACGCGAAAAGTGCTATTTGGGCGGACCGCGTATCCTGCTCTCCAGAGCGCGATTGGCTTGTGAGTGGAGACACCGTACCTACCGTACCCACGAGTAAATCACGCTCGAGGGCAGGCATGCACCGTCCGCCCAAATAGCATTTTCATTTCTGGAAAAGCATTCTATTGTCATCTTTTGAGGCTGCAAAGCACAGTCTTGAATTTAGCTCATCCAGGGAACCGAGAACGATGAATATCCCAAATTTATCATTCTGCCAAGCCGCTGCCTTCAACTCTGTTATATGAAGCTCATCTATCGTACCCTTGTAGTAGCAAAACCACACAACTGTGAACTTCCGTTCTATGAAAGAGGCTGACTGGACATACAGCTACTACATCGCTCCAACCCATCGATCAGTAAGGATTGAATTCTGCAGAAGCAAGCGCCTGATCAATCTAAGCAAGGTCTTATTGAGATTTCATAGCTACGCTGTATTTATCTCTGTTAGAGTGTTAATATTACATAACCAAACAAGGTAAAAGTATGTCTACATCAATTACTGAGAACAGTGAGTTGGTGAAAAATTCGTATTTTTTATAAGCACTTTGAAAATACAGGGTGCTTTGTGTTTTAGTAGGAAAAGATTTCCTCTCCTCCTAGTTATGTTGTCAGATTGACACCGTTGCTACTTTCTATGCGGATAATGATTTTTGCTTTTAAACATATAAAAACTCAGTTGCGACTAAGCAGTGAAAAATCGTTTCTAGGAGACTTTTATATGATTTATTGTATAGCCCTTTGTTTCTTGGCGACAAATCGCTGCCATAGTTTCTGATTTCCTGGTACTCTAAGAGATGGAGCGCCTGAGAATCTCCAATCAGTCCGCTATTACCGCGATGAAGTGGTTCGCTTTCCTTTTACTGCTCACTCAGGTCATTTACATCAGTGCAAACGATTCTTGATTACACCTACAAAAAATAATTGAAGTTGTTTTTCTTCAGGCAGGATGGGTTTCGTCCTGCATTTTTGACAAAGTGGGGCGGTTGGAAGGCGTTACTTTTGAAAAATTTGTGGTTAACAACATCAACGAGTGCTTTGCTGCGTGCTACGAGGACGTGAGATGCACGGGAATCCAGTATTGGAAGGTAAAAGATGTTTATACTACTCAACATCGCAAAGAATCTGTATTATTTTGCCATTGTTTGCAGGCAGGGAAATTGGATTCAAAGTTCCAAAAATGTAAATCGTATGCCGTCTTATAGCGTTGGCTGTTCGTAAATTAACATCGTGACTATACGCAGATGACTTTTGCCATTGACTCTCAAAGCGTAATGCCCTATGCAGTGATTGAAGTATTCGTGTTGTCCCAAACACTGCATGCTCTAATCATGTCATAATTCAATCTTGAAAAAAGTTCAATAGTTTTGATTCTTTCGTCTACAAACTATTCATTCCAACAAAGTCTAGCCACATTCTTTAGACAGAAGATTTTTTTAAAATGTCCTTCAAATTATTCATGGAATGATCTAGCAAACTTTGAGCTGTACATCTGTTAAGCAAATGTTTTCAACCTGGAGAGGATGAGTTCCTCAACCACGGCTCTTTTTTAGCTGAGTGAAGAAGTCAGACGATTATAAGTGAGAAGAAACAAAATATCCATAATCACATTGCAGAACCAAAAGGACTGCCTCCTGTTAAGAGCTGGAAATGGTCTACACTATACTGTGGATGATGGCAGGGCCATTGCCTACAGCCTTCTCCGTGACGATGTGGATCAGACGTGTCAAACATTTGTGAATGTCTGAGTGAGGAAAAAGCTAAACGCATGCCATCAATTTTTAAAGTGTTTTCTGCAGCATGATCATTGCAATAAAAGTTGCATGTTATTTTGTAGTAAATGTAGTAATGGTTTATGCAGCTGCTCACAAGATTGAAGGCATTGGGAATATAAAGGCCTGTGCATAATTCTCGAAGAAAAACACTTCCAACGTCTTCTTCTTATTTGACTTCACGTAGACGAATGAGTATGATTAAAATTTTTTTATGGAATCAAACCTCTCGCTGGCTTTTGTATGTTTGTAAGAAAATGTTGGATCACTGATTAACCCACAAGTTGCAGAACCAAATTGCAAATGATTTTCCATAATTATTCAAAATGTACTGTAAAAAACGAAAATATGAAGACTAGTTTGAGATTTGAAGTTCAAACCCTTACTTCACATTAATCTGGAAACTTGTCTCCATTTAAATATTCCCAATATTTGATAATAATACGTGTAGCAGCCAGAAGTTAAATAACTTTCATAGCTTTATGCTCTAATTTGCCAACAAAAAACTGATGTTATACCATTGCCGAGAGATTTTAAAAGTGGCTACAGCAAAGAGGCATTTTAAAATAAATTTACTTCTCTGAAAAAAATCCAAGTATCACTTTGCTCCTTATTTCTCACTTGCCATCAGGGACAAGCGTGTTGATGCGATCCGGGACCCTCACTTACGACCCCCCCCCCCCCTGAAGGTACCCGTCCGTACGACCCCCCCCATCTACCCCCCTTACCTCCCCTGTCCACATTCCTCGCGGTAACCTGCATAAACGAATGTCAATCTCAAAAATCACCTGCGTGAGAACTTCAGTGAGGTTTCGGAAGCAGAATTTCTAGGCCAATGATGGCATCTGTAGCACACATACACACCTTCAATAATGTTTGAGATTCTGCAAGTTTTTTTTTTTGAATTTTTAGGCATACTTCAGGCCAGCAAATTTGGTTCCCGTATGCGACACAAATTTTTGCACCTAGAAAAAAATGACATTCTTGAACTACAAAAGATGTTTTCGACTAAGAAGCTTACTTTCTACCTCTTACATAGTTTTTTCGCGAAAAGAAAAACCGTTTTAGGGCCGTCCAGAACGAGGTAAAACATGCATGAGCACGGTAGTTTGAAAATTCGTAACTAAGGCCAGGAAAAGACTGAGAGGATGCAATGAACAGGTTCTGTAGCATAGTGCCCAGGCTATTTACAGAAAAAGTTTCAGCCCTTGAGAAGCAGTGACCTCAAAAAAATTTAGATGCGTCTCTCACAAATTTAAATGCGATCCTAAAAATCAAAAACTGGGATTTTTAAGCTTGAAAATTTGTAACTCATCAAAGAAGTAATGAAACGGCCTGAAATTTTTAGGATAGAAAGAAGGAGGATGGCCTCGTATTATAGCAAAATTACAGCCAACAAACTTCAATAGCTCCGGAAAAATTTAGATGTGACCCAGATACGACCCCCTTTTGTCATTTTTTGCCACCATACATAAAATCATAAGAAAATCCAAAGGCTATAAACCAAGGACCAAATTTTGCACAAATGTAGTAGAGCATCTCTAAAGTACATATAAGTTGTAAGGACCGTATGAAAAGCATTACAAACAGATTTACAAATTATTGATGATTAGCGTTGATAGAGATATGCTCTTTTTTCGAGTGTGTGAGTCTTCAAGTGAGCCTTCGGAAGCAGAACTTCTACACCATTCGGTACATTCAACATCTTTATCACGCATCCATGCCTTTAGTAACATTTAGCTTCTAAAAGTGTTTGTTTTTTAAGTTTTAGTCATGCCAGCAGGGTTCGATCCCCTTTTGCGACAATATTTTGCGGGAGAAATAGTGTTTTCCATAGAAAAAAATGAACTACGTCATAATCTTTCAAAAGTGCAGCGAATGGAGCGAATTTCTACGTTTGCAAATATTTTTAAATTATTGTTTACTCGTTTTGACTTGATACATTGGTACACGGCATTCCATGAATTTATTGTTAAGAACATGTAATAAGTATTTGCCATTCGATTTCCTTCCATGCTTTCAGTTTTTTATCCAAACTACCTCTTTTTACGACCCCCCCCCCTCACCGTTACCCCGTTTACGACCCCCGTTGCGACAGTCGCATCACACGCTTGACCCTGCTTGCCATTCCTGCCCAAATATGACAAAATAGGCCAAAAGTTGCCTTTGAAGCGAAAGTATCATATACAGTGAACAAATGATGAACGGAGCAAGAGTTTGATTACTGAAATGTTATAGCATGATTTCGAAGTAAATTTTCCGTTATGGATGCTCAATCGCGCACCGCTACTCTTTCTCTTCAAAGCTTAGATCATGAATTTGAACTAGAAGGAAGATGTAACCTGTCGCGGCTCGCGATCGACAGCTCCTCACAGCATGTGGCCGGGAGCACCGTGTTGCCGCGCGTCTCGGTCGTGAGCACGGTCGCCGCGCTTTACGGCGGCTACCTTGTTCGCTCCGAGACCACACCATGTAGGCACGCCCCCAGCCACCGCCATAAATAGCGCGTACGCGCGCCATTGCGGCTCTTCTCTCGTCTTATCATCTTACTATCATCGTCGTGCCGCCGTTATTATTGATTGGTTGGGTCTCTACGATATCGCCGTCGTGTCTGCATCCCCGTGCCTCGCGCGATTGGATGGATCGCTGATGTATTGTTTGGATGTACGCGCGAGGATGGAATTCCAGGATGACGAATATCTCGAAGCGCTTCGGTCGCGCAGGATTTGTTGGGAGCTTCGTTTGATGTTGTTGGTTTACATTATGGGGTCGGTGTTGCCGTGCCGTCGCTGCTGCCTTGGCAGCGCGCGGCCGGCCTGTGGGTAGCTCCCTTGGATTTCGGGAGAGTCGTGAGTGTGTTAGCGTGCGAGTGTGAGTAAGCAAGAGTCCTCGTCGGTAGCCCGGGGCAGAGCTTAACTCTCCCCGTGGTAAGTGTATTTACTTTTATTCGCGTCGTGTATTTTGTGTATATTTGTTTAGTAAATTTGTGTATTTTTGTCGTTCGTGCCTGGTGTAGGCGTGACGAGCTGGCGCCACCCGCAATGGCGGAAGTCCTTTGGGGACAGGAGCTGAGGCGTATGGCAGTCGAGCGCGAGGTGAGGGGGCGCAGAGCCCACCGAGCCGCAACATAACCTGTAATCCAACATTGACGGCTGGAAGGCGACCGCTCGCGCCCGCAACGTAGCCTGCGTCTCCCTCTCTCCCTCTCTTTCGAGAGTGCTCTCCGATCATTCTTTAGCCTTAGTTAGGTCACGAAGCCCTCCTTCCAGCGGCCAATCCAGTTGAATCCAAGGGTAAGCCTCACATTCAGTAGTGAGAGCAGAAGTCGCATAATGCAAAGTAGTCAACCACGTTACATGTTGCATATTTCTTTCAAAAATTACCATTTTCAATATATATTATCTATATAATCTATATAAAGTAGAATTGTGTATGAAGGAAAAGGAGTTGCATTGATCAGAAGAGAGAATTTTTCAACACGAAGATCTGACGATAATGCTCTAGTGTAAGTAACAGGCTCATTAAAATCAACTCAGTAATTGTTCAAATTCAAAACAAAAATGACTAGGTCATCTCTCCATTACCTCATATGTTCCCTACTCTTAAGATTGGGTTGAAAAAACGGAATCAGCACTCAGTTAAAGCCTTAATCAATCACATATTTTTTGGTCCGTTTCGCTCATCTACGTGAATGAGCCTGGCAGAAACGCTGGCAAGTTTTCATATACGGAAGTTCAGTTCAAGAATTATAGCTGGTGTTTTGTTTATGCCTAACTTTACGTCATGTTGATATTTGTCGAACCTTGTACGTCATCAATAATAAACTCGATCTGCACCAAAGCAATAAACTTGGCCTCTAACAAGGGAAGGATACTTGGCCAAAGTGACGTTTTCATATAAAATGTCTACTGTTTTGTAGATCATGGAACGCTCATTTCAAATATGCTTTCGGTATCTTTCGGTACCTGGGGAATGGGAAATTTTGAGGCAAAAATTCAAGGGTCTATTTAAGATAAAAGCAGGTAGTGAAACCTTTTCGAAGCTTGAAAGAAGCAAAAACTAGCATACGTTTATTGAGCGAAGTTATTAATTGCGTAAAGCGCCTTGGCAGTAATCATAAACCCATTTGAGCTCACAAATTACACTTCTGAATAATTTTATCGTAACTGCGTCTTCAAATTCTTGCTCGAAAAAATTCCATAACTTCTCTTCCTGAAGCACTTTGCAGATATCGAAAGCAGATTTGGAATCAGCGTTCAATGTTCTATGGTACATGTCTCATATGGGAAGTCCACTTTGAAATAGTATCTCTCCCTTGTAAGAAATCTGGTTGGTCTTCTGGTGCATAGATAATTCTCCTATAACCTAATATGTGGAAAAATTTGGGTTTTATCATATAGCGAAGAAGAGCATTCAATGGTTCAGTCATGAGTTTGCGATACTATAAGACAAGGAAGCTCCCTCGATTACTCATGGAGAGTGTTTCGCAAATTAGCTCGGAATGTCACCCTATGATATATATACACAAAGAACTGAAATTGTACTCGATTAAAAATGAATTAATTCTGAAAATGGTTGCATCCACTACAGATTTTTCATGGCGCTTCAAGGCACCGTCCACCCTGAGTTGAGGGTGTTAAGTTTTTGGCAGCATATAATTAAATAAGAAGTACATTGTCATGCATTTGGATAAAAACAGAATCATTTCCCCTTTTCAACATGATTTTCAAAATGGAAAATCTACTTCAACGGCCATGTTGCAATGTCTTAACGATTGGACAAACAATTTTGATAATGAATTCAATACAGATGTCATTTATCTAGACTTTACTAAGGCTTTTGAGAAAGTACCCCATGCTAAAAAGGTAGAAAAGTTGATAATGGTAGGCATCCATCCTCGCATCACTGCCTGGATCAACGCTTTTCTTGAAGATAGTTTTTTGTGGTGCGCATTAACCCCGCTTTTTCTAAACCTA